ACTCAAAGCCCACTACAGGTCGCGATTATCATACCAGCCCACCATAGTTGTAAATCCCCAGTAGTATAGCAGTGACTACCAGGACAGTAAGCTACTAAGGGTACTGGGATCACCTCTTTATTATAAGTAACCAACCCAGTTACCCAGGGATCACCCACCAATACGTCAAATTCACTGAAGAATCGAACTTCACTTTAGAACCTTATATACCTGTAAGCCTATGAACGTTTCCAATCAGCCTAAACCTATTAGAAGATAAACTACTAAAGATGTTAGCCGTAACTGTAATATTAAGACACAGTGTAGTATGTAATAGGTTGCAACCTATCTACATTAAAAAGCAAAAGTTGTAATGCTGTAATTAGGTTGTAATGCCATAATTAGGTCGTAATACTGTAATTAGGTCTTAATGCCGTAACTAATCCGTAATGCCGTAATTCCGAAATTACGTATGTAATTTCGGCCAGAATTATGCACTTAATTTTAGCAGAAATTAACAAATATCCTAAAAAGGAAAGTGTTGTTACACAAAATTCCAGTGTCGTTCCCACTAAAATCAATTTTGTGGAACGGCTATCGCCAAAAAAGGAAAGATCTGCATTCCCGTTTTGGCTGAATTATGATTTTCGGCTGAAATTACATGTTTAAGTGAAATTACGTTAATTTCGGCCGGAATTATATTTCGGATTTCGGATTTCGGATTTTAGGAAATATGTGACCGTGTAATTTCAATTTTAAGGGGTAAATAATATCAAAAATAATAATAATAATAATTTTTTTTTTTGTAAAAAAGTTTATATGTAAATTATGCATAAAATCATCTAATTATTAAAGATATTATGCTAATTTAATATAAATTTTTTGAAAAAAACTTAATATTTTCCACCCACCCCTAGGGATTTTAGTTCATTATATAATTTTTTTCTTTACATGAACGCGTATACAAAATACAAAAAAAAACGCGACGCGTCTTATGTACTCCCTAAAAATTAAAATTATACGACATATAAACTATTGTAATTTACTTTTATAATTCATTACTTTTATTTTAAATTTTTATGCCATTAAAAATTACGACATTACAGCCTAATTATAGCATTGCGACCTAATTACAGCATTACAACCCAATTACAGCATTACGGCCTAATTACAGTATTACGAAAAGTGTCATAACTGTAATGCTGTATGCTGTAATATTACGGCATCGGCCAATCAATTACGGCTAACATTTTTATAAACTACTGCTAAGACATTGCACTTAAGACTATGAGGACCATCTAGCGTAGTAAACTCCACAGTAAAGTTTACCACACCCTTAGTGGTATTGTAGAGTGACCACTAAGATAAGAGCTCACCCAGATGGTATGCAAGCAGTGACCATCCAGACAGGACAATAGGCTTCCTAATAGCCTCATAGGGAACGCTAGGAGGACATCATGACCCTTTGTTGAAATATGCCGCCAACTGGTACATACTAATTCACCATGATGCAGTCCAACCTACACTTATTCCTGTACCTTCACACTATTGGTAGTAGTGTTCGCAGTAAAATTCTTTTAATTTCCGTGATTAGCAGAATCGAACCTGCGACCTCACCATACTCAGGCTTCATGAGGAGACTCACGGACTAATCAATGAGCCAAGGGTGATCAACCCTAATATTAGACAAATATATACCAATAATTCTTTATATTTCTTTTTTAGAAATAATTTGTAAAAAAATTTATTTATATATGATTAGTTGTAACCCTATTGCTTCATATTAGAATTGTAATAATACTAGCTAGAATTATATAATCATCATATAAATTTCACTTTTTTAAATTTGTTTAACGTTACATAATAAACTGGTTAATAGAAGTAAAGTTGCACAATTTAAAATTTATACAGGTAATTTAAACATTACAAATTTATTAATTATATAGATAAGGAAAAAATGCTAATATTTACATAACTAAAATTTAGTAATTCTAATAATGTAACTATATAAATTAATATATAAGGGTTATTTGTTAATTACATAATTATAATAATATTACATTTGTATTATTTTTGTTTGTTAAATTGTATTTTTTTTTATTTTTTTTTATAAAATATTTTAGATTAATTTTAATCCAGAGTGATTTAATTCAAGTGATTTAACCTACTAGTAACTTTTATATAATTGTATATATCCAAATAAATAAAATTGATATAAGTAAAATAATACAAACAATTTTTTTTTTTGAAATTTTTTTAATGTAAAATATAAATTTTTAAAAGACAAATTATTTAACCCAGAAAATAAACTAGCAAACCTTTTTGTATTAATATTATTTACTTTTATTTTTTAATAATATAGTTCAAATTTAAGGTTATTGAAAATGGATTTTAATACTATTGTTTCAAAGTTTGTTTATTAGGAAAGTAAAGTAAAAATATATTCAAAAAAATAAAATAAATTTTTTAAAAAATAAAAAAAATAAAAAGTATATCTTTAAGCAAATTATTATTTTGTTATTTAACTAAGATTTCTCTTTTTTAAATTTGGCAAATTGGATATATATTAATAATGTTATATGGATTTTTTATTTACTTATTGATAATACCTAATGATATAATTGCTATTATTAAATTAAATTAATTAAATTATATTTGTTAAATTACAGCTAATTATTCTTGTAATATTAATAATTAGTAGCATAAAGATTATGTAATTTTAAAAATTTATACTAAATATAAAACTTTATTTTACAAAATTTAACATATTATTTAACTATTTTAAAAGTCAAATATTTTTGTTGTAATAATAGTATATCCAAAAAAAAAAAAAAAAAAATGTACTAAAATTTTGNAAAGAAAATAAAGAAAAAATATGTAAAAAGAAAAAAAAAAAAAAAAAAAAAAAATGTACTAAAATTTTGACATTTGAAACTTTTATATACTCTACTCTAAAGTGTTCTTATGTAGGACCTTTAAAAACCGGAGAAATTAAAAATTCTCTCTTATATCGCTGTATCTTAAGTGTGATATGTGATGTGAGTTTATCACCTATTATTTGAACATCACACTTGAGTAAATATAGAGCGGGAAAAGAAACGAACTTTAAATAAAAGATCAAATAATAAATTTAAAAAAATAAAATCAATCGACATCAATAAACCAAAATCAAGAATTCAAAGTACCATATGAATTAACAATTAACCTTTACAGCCCAATTTAAAATTTATAATTAGTCATTTTTGTTGAAAAACGTGGAATAAAATAAAATCTATAATAGTTTGTTAATAAATTCAAACTAATGTTATTGACAAACTGTAATCATTTTCTTCTTTGGTATTTATTGTTGAATTGGTATCAATAATTTCTGAATTTTGGATTCAGTTATTACAATGCCGATTATTCTTTCGTCATTTTAGGTTTTCTTAACCCAGAAACTGGTTGGCCACTAGGAGTTGCAAGTTTTGAAGGGACCATTCTTGAAGAAGCAGGCAATTTACTTATAGACGTCCGAGTACTAGGTTTTGAAAGTCTAGTAGGAGTAGCTAGCATTGATGTATTATGGGGAGGTATGGGAGATGTTCCTCTACCAGGTGAAGAGCCATAAGAGACCGAACTCGTCAGAGAAGTAAGTGAATCGGTTTCGGAAGCGCCAGTAGGCGATTCCGGAGGAGTAAAAATCATACTCGAAGCCGAGTATTCATCATGAGAAGACAAGCTATCAGTACTTTGTCGACCACCATAATACGGAGCTCGAAGGACGGAAGGAGATCGAATACCGGAATTTGAATTTGGTGTAGCGATATTTGAATGAGTTATTTTGGTATTGTTAGTAGACGTGTTTCCAACCGCAATACTTTGAGGTCGAGGTTTTTTAAGAGCCGATGTCTTAGATGGTTCAGATAAACTAGCAAGCCGACTCAATGGTCTCACAGAGGTTGTCGATGCAGATGAAGGTTTAGCAATGCCAGCACGACTTGCCGGTCTTTTTGCTAGCTCAGAGTTAGAAGTAGGTGTGTGCAATTGTGACTCGGCATATTTAGACTTTGTTGAATTAACATTTGATGGCGGCACACTATTTCGAATTCGACTTTGTGAACCGGTAGAAATATTGGAAGATTTTGGTGTACCGATGTGTGACCCAGCTCTGCTCAAAGGTCGGGCTCTTGGAGCTGCAATATGTGATGCAGAAGACCTAGCCAAAACATCATCAGCAGAACTATTACTCACACGACTCATTGATCTTGGACGAGTACCACTTGTCATAGATTGTGACATATTATACATTGACATGTGGAGTCCTCGAGTTGGAGAAGCAATTCTCGAGGGTGATATAGCGCCTACAGATGATGTAGTACTCTCTTCGGTAGAACTATCGCTAACAGCACTCATAGATCTTGATCTTTGCGGAGTCGAAGTAGACGAGTGAGAATCAACCCTACCAGGGGCTGCAATTCTAGAAGGTGAAGTAACATGAGAACCAACTCTACTAGGAGATCGCAAACCGGTTATAGTTGACGGTCTTCTTATTCCCGAAGCACCAGACTTTGTACTACCAGTTGAACGCACAGAAGTATATGAACCATTTGACATTGTTTCATACTCATCTGGATCTCCCACTGATGAAGCTCGTGAGGATGTGGGAGAAAGTGGCGATCCAAAATGAGCGCTAAATGCTGTTTTAGGCAAACCCGCCGGGATACCAGATTTTCCTCCAGAAAGAGTAGGATATGGTGAAGGAACAGGTGAAGGTGAAACTGGTTTTATAATAGGAGTTATTTGTGTGTCTAGACTCATGTCAATCTCATTTATCTCATCATCTTCATATTCTGCTTCTTTTGAGCCCATCTATTATAAATGATGTTAATAATGTAAAATAATATAATTTGGTTAAATTTCATTTATAAACAACAGAAAACCTTACATCAAATCCATTCTCGTTAATATCATCAGCTTCTTGGCCGTCAACTTCAAGTGGTGTATCACTTAAATTCTCATCTTCTTCAGCAATCATGCTAATCAATATTGGAGTGCTATGCAGGTCTGGAGGTAAGGGAGATGTTGATGGTGTAATATGTCTTTCAAGCTAATTGATTTTGCCGAATGAATTTGAATAAATAAGTAATCGTTATAATCAACGATTTTGTAATGAATTTATTATACCTCTGCAGGATCAACACTCCAAAAATTTTCATCTCCATCATCCAATCCGTCATCAGTTAGTTGAATTTCACCAGACTCTAAATCACTACCATTAGCTATTATCGCATCCAAATCTATTGATCCATCAGAATCAGTATCTTCGTATGATGCTTTATTCTTTGCTTGTTTTATATGTATAGAGTTGCTATAAAATGAAAATATTATAATAATACAATTAATACAACATAATTAAACATATTATTAAATAATGGATAGAGATTTCTATCATAAGAACTCACTTTATTTCACCTTTACTTCTTGTATCTGATTCAATTTTATCGTCCTCATTTAATCCATTTAATATAGAATTTTCATCAGAATTTTCAACATTTTTAGTTTCTGAAGATGTTTTAATTTCTTCTGAACCCATTATAATTATGTCTGTAGTTTCGTCTAATTTTTGCTCCATTTGAAGTTTTTTCTGTTTTAAGAATTTCTTCAAGTCCTTCCTTTGCATGCTTCGATTTGCAGCAGCCTTTTGACGTTTTTCATCAGGACTTAAGTTATCCGGAGGTGAGGTAAGTGAAAGTTTATCAGTACTAGTAATATCTTTGGAATTTATAGTTTCAGATGATCCTTGGGTAGGAATTTCGTCCTTTGAATTCTCTTTTGTGGGTTCGTCCTTTAAATTTGTTAAAGCAACCGATTTTTTATCATCAGTAAAATTTGAGTCTAATACTATTTGATTGTCTGTAAAAGTGTCTTTGTGAATATAAGGTTGTTTCTGTAAAAAGAACTCTTTCAAACTTTCTCTTTTTGTTTGAAGAGCAAGTGATACCGCCTCATTTTGTTTTTTTTCCTCTTCTGACATTGAATCTATTAGATCATTTCCATCATGCTCCGAAATTACCGGGGCGTTCTCTTCGACGGTTTGTACATTTTGACTATATTCAGTTTTTTCATTAAAAGATATCTTGCCCATAAATTGATTACTATTGCTGTCATTAGTAGAAGTACGTTCAGATCTAACTTGTTCAGATATTTTATCTACGTCGGAAGTATTTAATTGATGGGTTGGATTTATCTTGTCGTCAGGTGTAGATATTTTAACGTTATCGTCAATATCATGGGACTTTATGTTTTCAATCTGAACTTCTCTATGGTTAGTAATATCTGTTGTATTTAATGTAATATTATTTACTGAAGAATCCGCAGTTTCATGGTGACCCTTTATAGAAGTGTTCGAGTTTTCAGAAGTTATGTTTTCACTTAGTTTGTTCTTTTTTGCGTTTTCTTCTTGCAGCTTTCGCACTAGTAAAAGTTCGCGCATTGTACCTTAAAGATAAACATAAACAAGTATAAGACGAAAGAGGTTCTAAAAAATTTTACGGGTAGAAAAACTAAAGCGAAAACAGAAATACCCAACTTTAAAATTATACCTTAATTGGGTTTTTTTTTTCGTTGTTATTGATACGTAATAATAATGTTTAAGAAACGTTATCGTGTATGAAAATGAAAAAAAAAAATATTGTTTATAAAGATAAAGATGGTAAGATGGTATACTGTTTGAAAAAAATAAAGTTATATATAAGTCAACGAGTTTTACATAATAATTGAATGGTCATGTATTGTACATTAAGTGAAAAGTCAAGAGAAGTAAAAAAGAATAGCTTATAAAAACGAAGATATTTTATAATGTTTATAATTTGTACTGTAGTAATGAATTAATAAAAAAAAAAAAAAAAAAAAAAAAAAATTATAAAGTACACAAATAGTACAAAAAATTGTAATAATTTCTTTGGTTTCGAAGAGGATTTATTCAATGCAAAATGCCGATGCCGATGATTTTAAAGAAATGTTACACATCCAAAGTAATAATTTAACTCATAATACCCATAATAGTAATTAACTATATGACATAACAAATATTGAATTGTACTACAATTAGGTATACAAGTGAAATATTGTTAACTTTTTTTAAACAAAAATCACTACATTCTTATTATCATAATAACTATGTAATTAATTAATAAATCACCGCACTGATTTTCAAGAACAATTATAACAATAATTTTGTTTTGTCCAACAAAAATTTCGACTTGGAATCATTCTCTCTATATCCCAATCTTCAATTTCAGATCATCATTATAAGTGAAATAAATATCAATATCTTTACATAAAGAATAAAATAAATAAACTAAAGAATCTTAAATTTTTTTACCTTTGTATAATAATAATTAATTGAAAATATTGCACAATTTGATATTAATACACCTTTAAATCTTCAACCACTGCAACTACAAACAGAGTACGCAATTCCTTGTTGCTATGTTACATTTACCAAAATTCTGGTTTAGAATTTGTCGATCACGTGAAACAGATTAAATTTTGTTACCTTTTTTTTTTAAATTATATAGTGTAAAAGGAAAATTTTTATATATACATTGCGTCCATTTTTAAGTATTATTCAAATCTACCATCTTCCTCCACGTTTTCCGTAATAACCTCTACGCCTGATTGGAGACGGCGTGTTAGTAGTTGCAGCAGAGCCTGAAGAACTTACAGCAGCCGATGAAGTACTAGTCGAAACATTAGACTCAGAAGTATTGGTCGATTGGGTTTGTGGTTTTGTCAAGATTTGAATTTGTACTGGTGTTTTAGTATCAGTGCTATGCTTTCTACTTCGATCTCGACGACGATAATGATTTTCATTTGATGGAACATTCGAGCTTGATGACGTTACGGGAGCCTCAGAGGTATCTTTACTTTCTTCTTTTCGCGTATCTTTTTGAACTGTCCCCGTAGAGTCCTTGGCAAATGATTCTTGGTAAGCTGTTTCTTTTGAATCATTTTCTGCTGTATTTATTTCCTTTTTCGGTGAAGGGCTAGTTTTTTGAATAAATTGACGAATTTGTTCTTTTTGTCTTTGTTGAATTGTAATTTTGACAGGTGCTCTCTTGGTTTCTTTTTCTTTTTCCTTATCCTTTTCCTTCTCTTTCTCTTTAGCTTCAACTTTCGACTCTTCTGTTTGTGGTCTAGGCACAATAGTAATAGTAGGAAGTTCAGATTTATTGGCTTCTGTTGCTTGAGCTTTTTTCTCTCTTTCTCTCATTAATTTTTGTCTTTCCTGTTTCTTATCACGTCTACGATAATTCTCTTTTTCTTTAACTTGCTCCTTAGTTTTTTCTTTCAACTTTTCGTCTACAACTTCAGACTCTTTTTCCTTTACCCTTTCAATATACTTGTTATTTTCCTCTTCATCCCTTTTATCTTTCTCTTTATCCTTTTCTCGTTTCTCCCTTCTCTCTCCCCCCCCCCTTTCTCTCCTTTTACGTTCCCTTTTAGGTCTATTTGTACTTTGAGGAAATTCATTAGCTCGTGTCTGTTGCGATGATTGTTTTGCGGCTCTAGAACCAGTTCCTTTTGTAGACAAGCCGGATGATGAAAGAATAGCAACCTGAGCATGTTTTAATGGTGGTGGTTTCGATTTCGGACCTAATTTTAACGCACGTAGGTGCTCAAGAAGTGGGGTGGTTGTTGGCTTTTCAACAACACTAGCAGCATTGATTACTATATAAATATTAAACAAGTGTGTTATGAATGATATTACATGAAAAAAGGTATTAAATGTAATTATAACACTCACCAGCATTTGCCAAACGTGCTTCCAATCTTTCCAATTGCGTTGCTCCACTTTCTAATACTACGCCTGGTTCTTTTGCAGTAGCCTGTTGAATTTCTTCCATTTTCAAAGATTCAAGAAATGCGAGATAATCGGGATCTATAAAAAAAGAGATTAATAGGAGCATTTTCACTTTATTATTTTTATTAAATTATGTAATAAATTTTCATACCGGTTTCGATTGTTCCTTGTCTAGGATCTGGTTTCTTGTGTTCTTTCGGTAGTTTTTGATATACAGCGAACTCTACCACAGCTCTATTCTCGTTGCCTATTAAGGTTTAGAATTTAATATATTTTTGAAATAAAGTAAATAATTATCAACATAATAATTTACCTTGTTTGTCTATAAACAAATGGTTGTCATAACCGCGATGAAATTCTAAAACTTGCTCAACAGTCTTAAAATGAAAATAAGCACGAGAAAATATACTTTCTTTATTCTTACTACGAATATAAATGTGTTTAGAATACTTTCTTTTTGATCTTACTTACCAAACAACAAGGCAATTACCTACCTTTTGCTAATTCGACCTTGGTGAAAACGTGACCAAGTGCAAGTTTCTTCATTTACCCATTGTTTGACAGATTCAAAGAATAAAGATTCAGGAATAAGAGGTGGTAAACGACGTACGACAACTTTAGTTTTCGTTACATTTTTGCCATATCCACGTTTAGACTTAAGTTTCTTAGGTTTAGCTGAAGATTTAGAATTTTTACTGGACATTTTTGAAATACCGCAAAAATGAAGGGCCAAATTTTATTTAATTTTTAAACTGCAGCGCAGCATTCAAATAAGAACATAAATAAATATTATTGGATGCGAAAATTGATACAATTGTATATTATTTAAGATATTTTTGTAGGTGCCACCGGTGGTGACGGTAAGGCGTGACAATCACCATTGTCACTTCTTGTGATAATTCTGAATCAGAAACCTAGTAAATTTATTTTAGTATCATTTATAATAAATAAAATAAAGTAATTTTTAATTTTTTGAATGAACACTCACAACAATCACAATCAAATGGACACAGCGGCGTGTCTTAAAAAAGAAAAGAAAGGATCGTTTAAACATTGTTCAATTAAGACAAGTTCGACTGAAATTACCTTCTCCGTTACCGACATTCAATTCTTTAATATCAAATATCGGCAGTCCATCTTCCGTAGTTTTTCCTAGATGAAGGAAGATTTAGAATTAAAAATGGTAAAGCTTGTAATACAAATTAAATATTAAATGATATACGGCTTTTTGTTCCTCGAGTATCGCTAAATCCGTTATCGTCGTTCAATTTTAACTTTCGTTTTGTAGCTTGTGATTTATCAGGAATTGCAGGAACTTTGAAAACAAATTCTTCTACTTTTTGTTTTATTGTGGAAGAGGAGAGCGACGATGATGATGATGCTGTTGACAATTCTTGTAATTGAGGATCTGTAGACACTTTTTTATTCTTCGCAGACGCGAAAATATCATCAATTTCGCTTTTACTATTTTCTATAACTTTTTTATTCTTATTATTTTTATCCACCATTAATTTTTCATTATTTTTATTTATTGTGGGTGTAGAGGATACCTTATTTTCGATTTTGCATTTTTTATCAACTTTGGATTTTATAGAAGACATTGTTCAAAATTTGCTAAAATAGTTTTTTTCGGCTTTAGTTAAAATCAGTTGTGTAACTGTGAAATTTCAACTGCCAAGCTATGTATATTCCTGCCGAGCTTGCCAAATTCTTGGGCCAAGCCGAATTTTTTACTTGGCAAATTTAAATATATATAAATCATCATTTCATCATATTTTGGCTCGTATACATCTTTTTAATAATTTGAAGTTTTTAATAAAATGAATGCAATACAATTAGCGAAAAAATACCCTCAAATATCGCAACAAGGGATTTTCGATCTCGTTGCACAATTCAAGTATGCTGTTTTTTTGATTTTGCACGAATCGAGTGTACTTTACGTGTCTTAATACTAACTTCTGTCGCGTCCATATAGCAAAATTGATCTTGATGGCAATGGTGCTCTCGAACAAAAAGAAGTTGTTAAGGCTCTACAAGAAATGGGTGAGAGCAATTCATACGATGAAATTCGGGCCACGCTGAAAGAAATTAACTTGAGCTCAACTGGTAATGTTGAGCTTGACGAATTCGTTGAGGTAAGTATAATTTAAATATTTCGTTAATTTTTGCTTTAATTTATAATAATTTTTTTATAATCATTCATAATCAGCTCATTGTAAAACTCAGGGAAGGTCGTAACAAAAGTGCTTTTGCGGTCAACAAACACAAAATTACCGTTCATGGTACTAGTCGGAATGTTTCTCATACTATCAACGAGGATGAGAGAACCGAATTTACCAGACATATTAATCAGGCATTAGCTGGTGACCCTCATGTTAGTGATAAAATTCCAATCGACACAAATACTATGCAATTGTTCGATGAATGTAAAGGTAAATATAGCTTGTTAGTGATTTCGTAAAAACAAAAATAAATATATGTATCAATTTTAATGCAAAATTCTTTATTAATAAGACGGATTAATCCTTGCAAAACTTATCAATGACTCTGTTTCGGACACAATTGATGAACGAGTCTTAAATGTACCTGGAAAAGGAAAGAAGATCAATAAGTTCAAGATGACAGAAAATAATAATCTAGTAATTTTTTCTGCAAAGGGAATCGGCTGTAATGTTGTAAATATTGGATCAGCTGACTTAATTGAAGGCAGAGAACATTTAATTTTGGGCCTTATCTGGCAAATTATCAAAATTGGATTATTAAACAAAATAGATATTAAGCTTCACCCAGAGTTGTATCGTCTTCTGGAAGATGATGAAACTCTTGAGCAATTTTTAAAATTACCTCCGGATCAGATTTTATTAAGATGGTTCAATTATCATTTGAAGGCTGCCAAATGGGATCGAAGGTAATCTTTATTTTTATATAACATATAGTTGTTTCTTTCTTCAAGTGGCTTTTCCTTTCCTTTTCTTTTCTTTGATTAATTTTAAAATTATTATTTATATAGGGTTACGAACTTTAGCACAGATGTCAAAGATGGTGAAAATTATACAGTACTTTTAAATCAACTTAAACCCGAAATTTGTTCACGTGAACCATTAAATGAGCCTGATCTCCTAGAACGTGCTGAAAAGGTAAGTTTGAGTAAAGTAAAGTATGTACACAACAATTTTTATATTCGCTGATCTCGATCTTATGACAGGTTCTACAAAATGCCGAGAAATTAGGATGCAGAAAATACTTGACTCCAAAAGCCCTTGTCACAGGAAATCCAAAATTAAATTTGGCCTTTGTTGCACATTTATTTAATACTCATCCCTGCTTGGACCCACTTGATGAAGAAGAAAAGGCAGAACTTGAAGAATTTGATGATAGTGATGATAGAGAAGCAAGAGGTAGAAAATATTCATATTTTAAAAATTATTATTTCTTAAAATTTAAAACTCATTGTCGATTTCATTACAGTATTTGCACTCTGGCTTAATAGTTTGGATGTTACACCGGCAGTAAATAATCTATATGAAGATGTGAAGGTCTTTATCTAAAGATTCTTGATTTAACTTATGTATTACATTATTTAATTTTTATGAATTTTTATTTTAGGATGGTTTAATTCTTCTTCAAGCATTTGATAAAATTGTTCCAAACACAGTTAATTGGAAAAAAGTTAATAAATCATCAAATTTATCAAGATTCAAACAAGTGGAAAACACAAATTATGCGATTACAATCGGTAAAGATCTACGGTTTACACTTGTTAATATCCAAGGAGCCGATATTTGTGACGGAACGAAAACTTTAATCCTTGGTCTTGTCTGGCAGATGATGCGTATGAATATTATTCAGACTTTAACAAGTTTATCCAAAGGCGGCCGAGATATTACTGATAATGATTTAATCAAGTGGGCCAATGATACTGTATCTCGTGGTGGTAAATCCTCAAAAATAAGTAGTTTTAAGGATCCAGCATTAAGAAATGGTATATTCTTGATTGACTTGTTGGACAGTATTAAGCCAGGAATTGTAGATTATTCCTTAGTAACGAAAGGAGTCTCTGGTAATTCATCAATTTAAGTTTGTTCTATAATTATACATATGATTAACTTCTAAAATATTCATTAAAATGTTTTTAGATGATGATGCTACGCTGAATGCTAGATACGCAATTTCTATTGCGAGGAAGATAGGCGCTACCATATTTTTACTGCCAGAAGATATTGTTGAAGTTAGACCTCGACTTGTAATAAGTTTTTCAATTTTATTTTTTTTTTTACGATTTCAATTATGATTAACTTTATGATTAACTTTATTTTACTTTAGATCCTAACGTTTATTGGTTCTTTAATGGCACTGAAATAAGCATCATTTCTTTTTGGATCTTATGACCCATATGATTGCAAATTTAGTATTTAACATATTTATTATTATACTTGTAATAAACATGTAATTCTGTTTGGCAAATCTGAACCTCACTGCAAAATAAATAAGATATGCTTGCTGTAACTTTTTAATTTTGTTTTAATGACTGATGATCTTGTATTTTTTAATATTTAAAATCTGTTGGTAGCCATGTCCCCACGAACTCTGTTATAATCTGGAAGTCCTTCAACTAAGATAATCAAAGTTGAATCTTAAAAAAATTATATTTGTCTTAAAAGATCAGATATAAAATAATATTGTATATACCTGGGCCAACTCCAACTACAGCAACATCTTGATCCCACAAATATTCTCCAGCAACTCTGCGTACATCATCAGCTGTGACTTTGGAAATAATAGCTTCGACTTCTTGAGGACTTTGTCTTTTTCCTGTTGTTATTAACTGACGTCCAATATCTTCAGCAACTGCCGTTGTACCATCCAGATTTAACAAAAGAGAAGCTTTAAGTTGTTGTTTAGCTCGTTCAACTTCAGCCTCTGTAACTGATGTGTGTAACCTTAAAAATAATAATTATAGTAATCACAAACTTTTAACATTAGAAAAAATAATAAATGAATTAAAAAATTACCTCCAAAGTTCTTTACAAGTAAAATGTACTAGATCATCTAACTGTTCCTTGTTTTCTGATATGAGATAGACACCAAATAATCCGGTATCACTATAACTTGTATTAAAAGCTTGGAAAGAATTTGCAAGATGATTCTCATGAATAATTTGAGAAAGACGAGATGATGAATGTGCAGCAGAACCAAGAGATCTATCCCAAGTTCCAATTACGGCTTGAGCAACTAACATAGGATAATAATCTTGCGAAGTCCATCCAACACTTTCAACTGCAAGAGCTATGTGAGCTTGAGGTAATTCATCATTCCTTACTCTAACTTCTGATCCTGTAAAAGTTGGTTTTTCACCATGAGAACTACGAGGTAATAAAGAATTTGGTGAAGCTGGTAAAGAAGAAAAATGTTTTTTGGCCAAATCTACAAGTTTATCATGTTGAATACCACCAGTTCCTACCAATACCATACGATCCGCTGTATAATTCTTATTGATATAATCTATAAGATCATCACGTTTAAGAGAAAGAATATTTTCTTTTGGGCCAAGAATAGTACGACCCAATGAATGACCTATGTAATATACCATTTTTTTTTAATTAAACATGATTCTATAAAATGAAAGAATTAGCTTAATTCTAACCTTGGAATGCAGTAGCATGTAAATGATCAAAGACCACTTCATCAAGTAACTTATCTACTTCTTCCTGTTCCCTTAAAATAACATCACGTTCACGCTCAATAGCATGTGAATCCAATTTAGAATTTTGTAAAATATCAGATAAAATTTCAACAGCTATATTAACATCATCCTTAAAAGTTTTAGCATAATATACTGTTTGTTCACGAGATGTATAAGCATTCAAATGTGCACCAATATTTTCAATAAAAAGTTCCAATTGATGTTGACTACGAGATTTTGTTCCCTTAAAAAAAAAATTATCTTAATAAATTAAATACATTAATATATATATTTAATAAATCTCTACCTTAAATGCCATATGTTCCAAGAAATGAGCCGCTCCATTATTCTTCGCATTTTCAGCTCTACTACCAGCATCAATCCATACACCAACAGTTGCTGTTTGTGCAAACTCATTAGTTTCAGTTGCAACTGTCAACCCATTTGGAAGTACTGAAGAATGTGTTATTGGTTTAGGGAAAGAGGTTTCAGAGGCAAACGGGCGGGTAAACTAGAATTTAAAATTAATATCCCAAAATTAAAATAGTAACTCAGGCATATCTTTTTTTTTTGCTCAATAGTTCAATTCATTAAACTATTAATACTTTAGACATAACTCGAAATTCTAAATAAAGTTCGAATTCCTTAATATACTGATACCTTTCTCGCCAACTCACGGCTAGTCTGACGTCTTAATATGTTAGAAAATATGAACCGAGATGCCATTTACTGGAGAAAAACAATGAGGTAATTCTTAATATCTGATTTTTTTTTTTGTTAATGCATCATCTAATTATCAATCTTGTATTAATGATTAATCTTATATGGAAAACCTATATCCATTGTATGACGTCATTATTTATGTATATTAAACTTTTTTTGGGGAAAATTAACTTCAAACATTTATAATGCTATTTTCAACAGAAGATTGTTGTATACAACAAGAAAATGAAATTTTGGCACTTGAGGTAAACCCGTTAAAATATTATATGCGTTAATAATAGGATGTATATGTGACATGCTCATAGTATCACGTTCCTATAAACTCTTGTAATGTAACAGGCAATTTACCCTCAAGATTTCACATACACAGAAAACGACGAAAATCCTTCACGTTACGAAGGATCTCTCACGATTCAAATATCCATTCCACATGAAATTATGATATATTTTACTGGAGGCAATAATTTAATTAGCGATCTACCACTTAAAGTTCGACATTTGCCACCAGTTAAACTCATTTTTTCGATGCCAAGCAATTATCCGACAGAGGAATGTCTGCAATTCAAACTTGAATGTTGCTGGATGCAACGGGATTGGATAAGGAGATTAGAAAAAAGACTTTTGAAAATTTGGGAAGAAGAAAGAGACGTTGTATGTCTTGCTTCGACATAAAAACTATGGAATTATAAAACAATTAATTTACTAATCTTTTCATTCAATAGATTTTATTCCGGTTTGCCGAATTTTTACAGAATAACACTTTGGATTATTTGCAAGTATCGTACCCTTTGAGAATTTATGATGGTATGTCATTAGTTCGTTTATTATAAATACTTTAATCTTTCAATGAGGAAAGAATGAGTAACGATGAAGAACGCTCTATTCTTATGATATTTCTGTTATGTTCATTCATAGATAACGTTGGTCAAACAACGCTTAAAGCCTTACTACGTACCTATGATCAGCAGGCTAAAAATCAGGACTTTGTTAATGGGCATTTTACATGCGGAATATGCCTTGAAGAGAAACATGGTGATAAATGTTATCGACTTAATTCATGTCAACATGTGTTTTGTCAAATCTGTCTTCGTGAATATTTTATGATGCTAATTCGAGAAGGGTTTGTCATACAAGTTAAATGTCCTGATCCTAGTTGTAAGTCACAGAATAAATTGGCTAAAGAAGAAATAACAGAAATTGTCGGTCATGAAATGTCACAAAGATATACTGAATTGTTAGAAAAACAAAAACTAGAGACAGATCCTCTAGTGACTTATTGTCCTCGTAAAATATGTCAAGCACCTGTAAGAAAAGATTCTGCTATTGAAAAATTATGTGTTTGTACAAAGTGTACATTTGCTTTTTGTTGGTTTTGTCAACGGACCTGGTATGTAATTTTACCTGTTTGTTTTACTAAGATTCTTTTTAATTCATTTTTATTTATTGATAAATAATAGGCACGGAGTCGGTGTACCATGTGCGATAAATAATATCAAAAAGGTTGTTCAAGAATATATGGTAGCCGATGAAGCTACCAAATCTATGCTTGAACTTCGGTATGGAACAAAGAATATGGAAAAATTGGTCAGAGATACTCTAGAAGAAATGGAGTCAGATAAATGGATAAAATCAAACGCACAAAAATGCCCTCAATGTGAAACCGCTATTGAGAAATCTATGGGATGTAATCATATGTTATGCACACGTTGTAAAACACACTTTTGTTATTTATGTGGAAGTTGGATAGATCCAGAAGAACCTTATAGACATTTTAACGTTCCAAACTCTTCTTGTAATCAACGATTATTTGATGGAGTGAATGTTGATGAATTTGTAGCGGATGATTTTATATTTATCTGATGTTTGTTATGATAATTTATGCATTTACATTAATATTATTGAACTTTGCATTTAATTTATTTATGTTTTGGTATTTAAAGTATTTAAGTATTTAGCTAACTACACGGATAAAATTATTGCAATAGATTTTATCTTAAATGACAAGTTAGAGACTGTCTAATTAAAAAAAATTCCATCCATATTGTTTAGTAACAAAGTAAAATAAACAATTATAAAAATTATAATAAGCCAGTTCATTAGAATTTTTAAATACTTTAATGATAATGATGTCATATATATGCTAATTCATGAGTTTACAATAAAATTTTAATTAAAATATATGTAAAATTGAAATTTTAAGAAAGAAATTAAAGTTTATTTTTTTTATTTTTTTTTTTTAGATTTATAATAAAAGTTTGGGTTGCATTTAAAAGTAATTTATGAATTTTAAAATTTATTTATTATATACAAAAGTATTTATCTTAACCATTAGCTATTAGGATAGTAATACTGTAATAGGATTCCACTTACTTATAATAAAAATATATATACAAAGATCAGGTGGCAAAAAAATTTTTTTACTACACTAAACTACAATAAATTACTGAATTCTATAAAATTTACTTAGTAATATATGGGCACTTTGCAGTAAAAAAGGACGAAACTACTAAAAAAAATAAAAAATGAGTTAATATAAAGTCTGAACAAATTATAGCATTTAGAATATTTTTGGCATATAAAAGAAAATTTAAATTTTTCAGTAGTTTTATCCTTTTTTACTACAAAGCGCCCATATAGTAAAATTGAAGATTTTTATGTTGCATAAAAGTTTATGAATTTTCAATAAACCTAGCCAAATTTTTTTTTATTTAATAGCCAATTATTTCTAGTTTTTATATATTAAAATAAAAAAAAGAAAAATTTTTAAAGTGTAAAAAAATTCTCTTATTGCAAAGTATCTTTTTATATGTATTTTCTCCTTTTATATATGAAATTATCTTGTCTATTATTTTATAAATAAATCATTTTCTGCATTCTTTAAAATTGGATATTTCTGATCATATTTTTATAACTATAATTGATTGACTTTTAAATAATAAATTTTTTGACTAACTTTATTAAAAATTTAATTTTACTATATATTACTAAGTAAATTTTATAAAATCTGGTAAATGTATACAAAGACTTTTTAATTGATACCTGATATTAAAAATTCTGCAAAAATATGCAAATAAAATTTTAGATATTAAGTTATAAATTATTTTATCATTATTTTTATATATTATTTATAAAACTAAATACTAATGTGAAAAAATAGAATTTATTTTAATTTACCATTTTTTAATAATATTTTTCTAAAATTTCATATGAAATTATATAAATTACTATATTGTATAATATGAATCATATGATTTTGAATTTAGGATTATAATAAACAAATATACTTCATTTTTCAGACTTTTCTTTTTTAGTTAATTTTTTATCAAACATGAAATCATTTGTATTAAAATCATTAAAAATATTAAGATTAAAAATCTGGTTTTAAACTTACTGAAAATCTCTGAACAGATATAAAAACAATTATTTATCCACTTTCTAACATATTTTACTATCATTTTAACTTAAAAAAAATAATAGAGAATGTACAAAAAAATATTTTTTCAAAATATTATAAGAAAATTATTGATGTATGGACAGAAAAACAAAGAATAAAACAAAATTAAAAAAGCAGATAAGTTTTATCAAGTAAATATAAATTGGTTCTTTATATTATTTATATTCACTTGTAATTAATTACTTATATTATAGGACGTAGTCAAAAAGCTTGCTTATAAAATATCATGAGTAGAAACAAGTGACTAAAAGTCAAATAAAAACCCATATTAAAGAAAAATTGGATGCTAATAAACAATGTGTTAGTATTCTTCAGAAACCTGAAGTAAAAGTTTAATGTTTGACAAGTTGTGAGAAAACTGCTGTAAATAATATTTCAATTTGTATTATATTGTATTAATTAATAAAAATATACTAATTTAATAAATTAATTAACTATTTAATGCAATTCATTTAAAAAAGGATACTATATTAGATGTATTAAAAATAGTTTATAGTTTATATTTAGTATAAATTAAATTAAACCATTCAAAAATAATTTTATAAAATATCAAATGCAAAAATAAAAGTAGAATCTAAATATATTATATCTGTAGATTTTAAAAGATAATGATAAAATAGTATAATAATTATAATATTTATTAATAGTAACATTTATTTTATATTTAATATTTATTTATATTTAATATCAAGTAATAAGAATATATATAATTCATATTTATAAATAGGAAATTGATTTTGCATATTTATATTTAGTTAAATAAGTCATATAATAAGATAGTATAAGTGATATAGTAACATAGTAGTACAAATAATACAGTATTATATGAGTCATAACAAGTTATAATGAATTATAATTAGATGTTAGATAGATAATTAATAGTCTAGTGAAACTTCAAAAAAACTTTAAATAGGAGGCTTTTTATATTTGATTTTCAAAGCAATTTGAATTGGTAATAGATATTAATGGTAATTTAAATTAATTTAAAAAAAACTAATTGGAAAATAAAAATAATAAAAATATTTTTAACACTATAATTAAATTATAAACTATTGATTTTTCAACTTTTTTTTATAATGAAAAGTATAATAAAATATTAATTGTTAATGAAAAGTTATCATTGTGAATTTATTATGAAAAATACTTAATTAATAATGTTTAGAGGAAATAAAGTTATTATTTGAAATTAATTGGTTGAAAATAAGATGTTTATAAAATGAAATAAATAAAAATCAGCTTGTAGATACTGGTTGGAATAGTCCATTTCGGCAAAATTTTAAATTGCCGAATGTTGGACGAAATTTGGTCTAACTTTAGCCGATCAGTACCAAAAAAATCGGCAACTAATTTTATAAATGATTTGTACCGTAACGCCTGCCACTTGTCAACAAATCGATCAGTAGAAATTGGCAACAAATCGGTAAAATCAAATTGACAATTGTTAATAAACCTAATAATTTATTACCGATTTTTGTACATTTAACTGATTACTGATTTAAATTTTATAATAATTTATTAATTAAATTTTATTAATTCGTTTTATTAAAAATTACATATTAAATTAATATATAGCTATCTATCATCTATATACACCATCCACCATCCATTATCCATTATCCATCATCTACCCATCATTCTCACCTAACCTGATAAAAATCCGTAAAAAATCTACAAAAAAAAAGAGAAAACGGTTAGTAACCTATTTTTTAAATAAAAAAATTGAAGTTTCAAAAGAAACTTACTCGATCTAATAAAATCCGAAGGGGAAACCTACAAAAAAAAGTAAAGAAACGGTAGTTAGTTCATTTCTTTAATAATAATAAAAACTGAAGTTTCGAAAAATTCGAAACTTACCAATCCAATAAAGTCCGAAGGGGAAAATCTACAAAAAAAAAAGAAACAATTAGTTTAATATCTGTCTCTTATACACATCTAGATGTGTATAAGAGACAGNTTACTATAAATGGAAATGATCAACATACCAGTGTGTCATGTGACAACAATTAAATACCTATTCATAAATTCTGGCTGAAATTAAATGATCAGTGAAAAAATTTCCTTTTTGGATTCTTGTGAAATCCAAAATTTCATTTTTGCTGAGAAAAGAAATAAAATTGCTTTTTGTGTAATGTTACTCATACCCTAAAAAGGATAATTCCATGGCGATTACTTAATTCTGGCTGAAATTATAATCAATTTGATCAATCCACAGATAATCCAATGATCTGATTTTTTTAATCCAGATTGATTTGTCACGTGATCATTCAGATGACGGATTGATCAGATTCATCCAGAACACACCTCTATTGGGCAAATTTTTAGGCAGATTTTGACAGTCACCTAAAAATTTTGGTTGTATCATTGTTAATAATAGTGATATAATCATTTAGGTGACAGATTGACTTTTTTTGAAAAAGTAATCTTATTTCATAATGCTTAATTTTTATATATATTTTATTTTTCTTATTGTTATAAATTTAATATATATAAGTAAGCGTAGTTATATTAAGACAAGATCACATCTATAATAAATAAATAAAAAAAAAATAAATAAATAAAATGTTTATAAAGATAAGAGATTAAATCTCCTACTTATAATATTAATAGAAAAAAATTATTGCAGTTTGATTTTTAAAATGTTAATAATACAATAAATCAAGTAATATTAGATGAAATTTATGTACAGTTACAATCTATCATTCAGCCTAAAGGATTCTATAATAATATGAAAAGTTTATAAAAATCTTTATAAATTAAGTAATACTATTAAGAATGAAAAGGTAAATATATATTTTATACTTATTATAAATCTATTTTTACAATTAAAAAAAAATATACAGCTTTAAATGAAGTATATATTTAATCAATTCTTGAAACTATATTTGATATTAAATATCTTTTCATAAACATTGTAAATATATGAACTAATAATTACTTATACAAAAATGGTGAATACTGAATAAATTTATATGATAGTTTTAAAGTTAATTACTAATGTTTAAAATATCTTTATATTCAGGATTCAAATAAATAATTAAATAAAATATAGATGTGTATAAGAGACAGGGCAAAAACAAGGGAAATAAAAAAAATTAAAAACTTACCAAAATACCGTATCCAAAGAGTGAGGCGTCACCTAAAAAGAAGGAAGAGGGAATGGACGAAAGAAAGGGGAAAGGGAAAGACGAAAAAGTGAGAGGGAAAGGGAGACGAAAGAGTGAGTAGAAAGGGGGAAGACGAAAGGGTGACGAAGGAGTGTGTGGAAAAGTAAAGTGAGTGGAAAGGGGGGAGACGAAAGTGTGAGAAAAAAAAAGTTTAAATAAAGTTAATATATAGTAGTATCGCGTAATGCATGTGATACATAATTACAAAATATTGACCAAAAAGTTATTGGTCGATTTTTTTATTGATTTTAC